AGATTGGGAAAGAATTTGGAGCAGGAATTACAAAATAACAAGATCTGCGGCATTTGAGGAGAATCAATTTGTTTTATCTCTGGCATTTGGCTCCAGTGAGATTGGCAAAAATATATAATTTGAAACCAAATTGTTCGAAATGTGGACAGAGACACAGTACCTTCTTCCATATGTGGTGGCTTTGCCCTGAAGCTAAAAAATGTTGGACTAAAATTCAGAATTGGTTACAAGAAATAACGAATGGTCAGAGAGAGTTTAAACCTGAACTGTTCCTTTTAGGGAAAATTAAGAGGAAATACAGTCAAGAGATAAAATATATGATCTTACACATATCAACAGCGGCCAAGATTGCTTATGCACAAGGTTGGAAGAGAGATAATATACCACCAGATATATTAGTAATCCGGAGGTCTTGTATGGAAGCTAAAAAACATTGGGCAAAAATACATGATAAAACAACATATAGATTTGAAACCTGAAATATTTTAATTAGGGACGGTACCTGAAGGCTACAGTGAAGAAAAACCATATTTAATTATACATGTATTAACAGCAGCTAGAATTGTATCCGATAAGAATTGGAAGTGATAAGATACCAACAGAGGAAATAGTAATTGAGAAAATATTTGAATGTAGAGATGAATGGGTTAACGCTGGTAATGAAAGAAAAAGGACAAACGGAATATTATACGGTATGGGATTTATTTTAATCTATGGTTGGAAAGTAAAACAAATTAAAACGGAGTTGATTAAAATCTAGAGAAATTGGTTTAAGATTGGTTAAAAACATGTAATAGCTATGAGAAATGGGATTGTTATATTGGTAAAAAAATATAATTGTAAGCAGAAGATGTACACAGTCAACACACAATTGAAATTGAATTATTGTAAATATAAAAATCTTTTAAAATAAAGACAGATGGGGCAACGTATTAGGAAACTGGGGGTTGGGGGGTGGAGAGGAATTTGAGGGCGAGACCCAGTCTCAGGACAAAGGTCTCCATTGGAGTTGCTTCCCACAGATTGGAGAATAGGCTTAAGCGCCCACCAACGGGAGGGTTAGATGTGTCGTCACTTGGAGCGGCGAAGGGGGCGACGGCCGGTGCCCCGAAATGATCGCTTGCCTTGGAAGTATCCTCTGGTTTTGTCGGATCCGCCCGGTTGCCAGTCTGGTCTGTGGGCGTATGCCCTCTGGGGTTGAGGGGCATCAAACCCCGTGCCTGTGGGCTGAAAGGAAGCCCCACGGAAATTTTTTCCACAGCAGGCAGCTGGTCCATGTAGAGAAGGCAGGACCTTTCTCCCATCCTTGGTCTCCACCAGAAGGGGATCTAGGGCCTCTCCAAACAGCTTGCCTCCCTTGTACGGAGCAGCCACTAGTTTCCACTTATGGCTTGGGCTCACCTCCCAATGGCGAAGCCACAGTTGTCGCCGGGCCACCACTGAAGAGGCAAGGGCCTTGGAAGCAAACTTGGAGGCACTCAAGGTGGCATCTGCAGAGAATTCCATAGCCGCTATCACTTTGTTGATGTCCTGGTGGAAGCGGAGGTCACCAGAGGGAATCCTCGCTTGCATCTGGCGGAGCCACAACAATGAGGCCCTGTTGAAGAATGAGGCAGCTGCCGATGTTTTGATTGCCATGGCGGCCATCTTGTGCACGTTGCAGAGAGTCTGCTCCACCTTCTTCTCCTCTGGGACCAGTGCATCCTCTTTATAGAAAGGCACCACGCTGGAAGATACCAAGGCTACCACTGGGCCATCTACAGTCGGTGGTTCCAGTATCTGAGAAAAATCGGCCATATTATATAACATTTTTTCATCCTCGGTTAGGGGAGGGCATGGCCCCGATTGGGCCCATATCTTTTGGATCACCTTCTGGAATAATTCAGGGGAGGGGATTTCTTCACACTCTATGGCTGGCTGTGAAAAAAGCAACTCATTCGGGTCCGCTAGCTCCAACGCTGGCTCCAACGCTGGCTCCGCTCCCATATCTGTTGTGGCTTTGGCCTTGAGTAACAAGGATTTAAAGAGGGATGGGTTAAAGAGCCTTGTGGGGGTTGCCTTGTGTGGTTCTTCATGTTGGGGCGTTTCCGGGGCCCCCGGAGCAGCCTGACCTCTTTGTTGCAGGCCTGCCGCGATGCCCTGCGCTATGGCCTCCGATATCAGGACTTTCATCTGGTCGGAGATTTCAGGGCCCTGACTCTCCTGTGGGGGAACTCCCGCCACCGCCGGGGGAGTAAAGCCGCCCTCTGGCGCCCCCTTCCGCCGCTTAGGCGGTGGCTGCCCTTCTGCTGGCAGCGGCTTCGGCTTAGCAGCCATAGAAGCCTCGCCGGAGGGCAGAGACAGCTGCTCTTTGGCGCCACCTGGCGACCCGGCCTGGGAGCCCAGCGGACTCTGGTGCTTCGCGCCGATTGGCTGGCTGAGTTGCTGGGCTGGACAAGCGCCAGAAACTCCAACGGTTTCCTCCGCGGGGGTCTCCGCCCCCCCCTTTGGCGCCGCTTCCCCCTCAGCGGCCCTTTTGTCAGCGGCCTTCGGGGCTCCCTGGGAGGAGGGGGCTGTCGACTTGGGCCTGGCCGCGGGTGTTCTGGCGGCCGACTTGGGCCCCGCGGAGACTTTCGGGGGACTCTGGTCCTCCTCCCCGCTCGGCCCTGCCGTTCCCGGGTCCGCCATTTTAGCCTCCGGGGCCCCCGCACCACGCAGGCCGGTTGCTGTGCGGAACCTTTTGCTGCTGCCGCCGAGGCTTTATTTCTCTCTCAGCCGCTCTAGGCTTCTCCCGGGCACTCGTTCGTTGCCTGCGGGGCTCGGTCGGTGACCCTGACGGGATCGGGACAAAGGCGGCTAGGCCTTCGCAGGAGCCTTCTCACGCGGAGCCGGGGACCTCGCTGTGATTTCCACTTCGAACTCCGGGGAATAATAACCGCGTCGTCCTTTCGCAGCGCTCTCCTCCGCGGGGCTCGGCTGAGGGAAAGGCCGAGTCCGAGACTGAGCATGCGCAGGATATGGAGGCGAGGCCGAAAGTTTGATTGACTCCGGTTCCAAAGGAGCCCAGTTAACCCCTTCATGTCCTCGGAGTCTCTGCTAGGCCCACTGGCGAAGAACGTTTCCCAGAAACCTTTGCGAGATGCGATAGAATAGAAATGGGAATAGAAGAATAAAGTAAGAAAGAATAGAATAGGAATAGAATACAATAGGAATAAGAATAGAACAGAGTAGAATAGAAATAAGAATAGAAAAGAAATAAAATAGGAATGGAACAGGAATAGAAATTAAAATAAAATAGAGGGATATAGAATAGAATAGAGAGATGGGGAATAGAATAGACCAAAATAAACTCATCAAGAATCATAAGATGCAACGCTTAGTGATGGTCATAAATTAAAATAAGCCAAGTCTTCAAACTTGGCAGTTTAAGACTGGTGGACCAACTCCCAGAATGCCTGAGCTAACATGACGAGGAATTCTGGGAGCTGAAGTCCACCAGTTTTAAACTGCCAAAGCTGTCAAATTGGAAAACCCCTGCTATAAGCAATCAAATCGTACATAGGTTACTAATACGCAATCCAAACATACTAGAAAAACAAAACAATATAAATTGTAAAGATAAAAGCAGCATAGCTTAAAATAGAATGAATAATAAGATATTGAATTAGATTATAATAGAATAGAACATTAGAATAGAACATTAGAATAGAATTGGGTGCAAATGCTCTCACTCTATATAAGAAAAAATAAAATACATTCATCAGGAATCATAAGATGCAACATTTAGTGATAGTTGTAGGTTATGAATAGAGTAAAATAGAACACAACAGAATATAAATAAGAATAGAATAGAATATGGAATGGAAGAATAGAGTAGAATAGAATAAATAATAGATAATTAGAGCTGGAAGGGAACTTGTAGGTCATCTAAAAAATTTTTAAAAATAGAATAGAATATAGAATAGAACTGAATAGAATATAATTCTCTTTGGTGCATATGATCTCAGTGTACATAAGAAAAAATAAAATACATTAATCAAGAATCATAAGATGCAACACTTAGTGATAGTCATAAGTTACGAATATAGAATAGAATGTAGAATAGAATAGAAATTAGAATAGAACAGATTAGATAATCAGAGTTGGAATGGACCTTGTAGGTCATCTAGTCCAACCCCAAATACAATAGAATAGAATAGAATGGAGTTTGTTATTGGCCAAGTGTGATTGGACACACAAGGAATTTCGCTTTGGCGCAAATCCTCTCAGTGTACATAAGAAAAAATAAAATATATTCATCAAGCATATTAAGATGCAACACTTAGTGATAGCCATAGGTTACAATAGTACAGAACAGAATATAGAATAGAATAGGAGGTAGAATAGAATAAAAACAAGAATAGAATAGCATGCAGCTGAGCAAATCGCAGCCGCTTCCAGGCTGGCCATCCAAGAGAGATGCTATTTCCACGCGGATAAATCGTGCGAGGTGGGAGGGGGTAACGTCGGGAACGCGTGACGCTGCGTGAAAGGCAAACGCAGGTTGGCCATTTCCCCTCCCGCACCTGCCTCCCCACGTGCGGGAATAGGGGAAGCCAGAGCACCGAAGACCCGCGCGTGGGAAGCAGAGATGCTGGAGGAAGAAAAGGGCACCGCTTGGAAAAGCCTCCAAAAGGGACGCTTCCGTCTCTTCCGACAGGGGGCGCCGTGATAAAAAGGCGCTACAGCACATCGTGTGTAAAGCGTCCGCCTCTATAAATTGCGCCTGCAATTGCTACAACTGCGCCCTCCCTCCCTCCCTCCGGCTGCCTGGGATTGGATCCTGGGCCGTGATTGACACAAACACACAAACACATAAACAGGAAAAAAAAAAAAAAAACCAAGGAAGGAAGGATACTCGTTTCTATTGGATAATTGACGGAGTCTCAAACTGGATTCTTTAAAGGGCCGCCGTTCAGGAAGCGGTTAGCGAGCGCTGATTGGCTGAGCGGACCCCGTCGGGTGGGCGGGGCCTGCATAGTAAAGAGGCCCCGCGGACGCCGATTGGCTAAGACTCGCCTAGTCGGAAGGGTTCGAATCTAGCGGAGGATGGCGGCCGCGGCGACTTTTTTCCGCCGCCTCGGGGCGCTGAGCGGGGCATCCGCGGTGGGGGCGGCCGCTTATGGGGCGCACGGTGAGCGGTGGGGGGGGGGCTCGGTCGGGCTGCCTTGAGCTGGGATTCCACCAAGTTGGGGGCGCTTGGAGAGAGAGAAGCCGGCTGCAAATTGGGGAGGGGTCTTTATGAGGGGGTCTGTGTCAGACGCCTGGGGGGTTTAGTTCCTGGGGTTGGGGGTGGCTGCTCGTTTTAAGGCTAAGAGGGCCAACCTGGCTGGACGGGGCAATCCCCCACATAACCACCCCACCCCTGCTCCTCTTCTTCCAGGCTTCCACCCCCAGGAACAGCCGGAGTACCTAAAAGAGGTAAAAAGCCCTCCACCCAAGAAGACCCTCTGCCATGGGAGCCATCTGGAACGTCTCCAGCTGCCTCTCTGCCATCGGCCAAGTCACCCCCCCCATGTTGGATGTCCCAATGGGGGGGTCCTTCCACACAACCCCCTTGCCCACCCTGGGCTGGGCGGCCGGGTTGGGTGGGTGTCCCAGGGATGTGCGTGCATTGCAAGTCCCCCCATGGTTGTGATGCTCAGCTGTTTTTTTTTCCTTCATCCCCAGTTGTACGACACGGCCAATAGGTACCACTTCCTGCACAGCCTGGCTCTCTTGGCTGTGCCCCACTGCCGCTACCCCATGCTGGTAGGTATTCTTTGAGGGGGGGAGACCCAATCCCCCCAACCTGCTCCCCCCCGTAACAGTTTCCTCCAAGTGCAGTTCTTGCAAGATGCATTTAAAAAAATAATATTAGAATGTGCCAAATTGGACAGATTATCAATGGAACTTAAAGAAGAAATAGAATAGAATAGGAAAGAATTAGAGTAGAGTAGAGTAGAGTAGAGTAGAGTAGAGTAGAGGATTAGAATAGAATAAAATAGATAATAAAATATAGGATTAGAATAGAATAGAATAATGGAATGGGATAGGATAGGATAGGATAGAAATAGAATAGAAATAGGAATAGAATAGAAATAGAATAGAATAGGAATAGAATAGAAATAGGAATAAGAATAGAATAGAATAGAATAATGGAATGGGATAGGATAGAATAGAATAGAATTAGAATCGAATTCTTTATTGGCCAAGTGTGATTGGACACACAAGGAATTTCTCTTTGGTGCATAAGTTCCCGGTGTACATAAGAAAAAATAAAATACATTCATCAAGAATCATAAGATACAACACTTAATGATCGTTATAGGTTACTAATAAGCAATCAAATCATATGAGGAAACAAAACAATATAAATGGTAAAGATACAAGCAACACGGTTATAGTTATAAATGGGAGGAGATGGGCAATAGAATGGATGAGAAGAAGAATAGCAATAGTTAGTTTGACAGTGTTGTGGGAATTAGTTGTTTAGCAGAGGGAGGGCATTCGGGGGAAAAATTACTACTTAATAACATTGATACAATACCTCCCATATTAAGTAATGCTACTTAATATGGGACATATTGTATCAATGGTTAAAAACAGGTGGAGAGATGAATAACTTAACAATGAAAGATGATTAACAAAATAGAAAGAAATACAGATATATATAAATATGTAAGAATACACACAATGTAAGCAAAACCCCTATTGGGCTGTACGTGAATATAGTTTCAAAGTATAGGCTGATAAATGCAATAAGTTTTTCAGTCCAAGTAGGAAAGCAATAGTTGTAATTATGACGTACAATACTATGTATTTAAAAGAGGCTACACTGTATGACTATGAGGACACTGGTTATAACCAGGATGTATACTACGATGTCTATTTAAAAAGGACTTGATAGGGCCAGTACGCTGCCAGTTACAAAACTGGAAATGTGATGTTTAATAATGAAAAATATACAATAGAAACATTATTATTTTTTTTAAAAAAGGAGGCGCAGGCAGGGACATGATCTTCAATTGGGATGGCATGCCTTTTTGTGGTATGAAAAAATAAAATGCATAAGATGCTTTCAAAGGCACGATGCTCTCTACCCTTTAATATGGGGAAAAGTTACAGCCAAAAAAATAAAAAGATATGGAAATACCAGGTCTGGCTTTCCACAGCGGAGGCATGGATATCACATCCAAATGTTGTAAATTTCAGTGGGTGGGGGGGGGG